CAAGCGCCCGAGCGTTGCCTTTTCATAGGGAATCTGGCGGGATGCGGGGCAAGATGGACTATATGAAGAAATTAACAACTTCAAAGAGCGGAAGACGGACACTCCTAAGAATTGGACGGCTTGACGCTGCGCCGGGCAACATTCAACATGACCAACTCGACATCGAATGCTTCTCTTTGAAGGGGGTAGTCTACCCATCATTCAATCATACCTTCAATGAGCGCGTAATCCGTGAAATCACGCCAAGCCACACACCAGCGCGTGCACCAGATTGGGGTTCACGCTCCCCTGCGAAACCCGCAAGAAGGACAAGAGCACCTGCAAGGCAGCACAAGTTTCCGAAGAACAAGATAGGGCATTCAGCCACTCATGACTAAGCCCCTGTCAAAGTTTGCAGTCAATAAGAAAACATTAAAAAGTTTTTCTATATCAAACCGCCCGAGCCTTCAGGAAACAGTGCGACCTAATCCTCTTTAATAAGCAAACATTTGAAGGGTGCGACACCAGGAGGCAAGGCAAGATTTGTCTGGCGGTCCGTAGCCGTCAAACAGCGCAATCATATGAGCAGCTATGATCCAACGTGTTAGTAAGACTACATTGTGCGACCAAAGAAACCTTGGGAAACCAAGCAACCCAACAGCAAAGCGTGCCAAATGAGCCACGCAGCCGTGAGTGAGTGCTGCAGCAGCATGAACACAGATGGGCTCTTGATCAGCTCACGCTGCATGCGGTAGTCCTGCAAGGAAGGGCTCACAACAATCATAGCTGACTCTTGCTCCGACGAAATATGTAACACAGGATTGTGAGACAGTCCATCAAAAAACCAAGTGGCAAACTGTTTAACATTCAGAAAATGAGCAAACGCGACACATGGCGGGCGGGAACAAACAACAAGACCATGTGCCCCCACCCAGCTCAGGCGAGCGGGTCATGCCGTGTGCGGAAGGCGAATTGCACGAAACCGTAACTCAGAGACTCGTGCAAACTGCAGCGCAAGAATAACATGGATCACGCGGCAGGCGGAAAGCAAACACCCCGCAGCAGGACTGCAAGCCGCAACGCAGCTCGTTGTCGTTCCAGAGAAACATGCATGGACATCATGGACTATGGACTGCACGTTGGGCGGCAGGCGCAAACAACTCAAACGATAAAGCGTTGCATCAAGTGCTTTTGCGCGGCTCACATTGACTAAAACAAAAAGTGGATCATGCGGAAGGCGGAAGGTGGACACAGTCCGGCCACAGTGCAGCCAAAGTGCCCTGGCAGTGCCCGTCACCGAGAAGTCACGGTCAGGGTCATTTGGCCACAAAGCCCGAACCTTACATCACCACGGTACGTTTGGAGAAACAACAAAACAAGTTGACAACACACCCTGTTGCGGCTTCGGCGCAATTTCTTGATTGTTTGGGGAGTTTGCAGGAGGGCGCTCGTAGTTTGCAACAGGAGCCCACAGAGGCCTAACTTCTCCAAACAGCAGCTTCGCTAACAGTTGTGGCTTGTGACAGATGAGGAGTTCTGCGGCGGCCTGCAATGATTACAGTGTCATCTCGTGAGTTGCGAGTTATCATTCTCAGGGCATCGGTTTGTTGAATTGTCGTAGGACAAGTGATGAATAGACACCTTGACTTTAAAGTCCAAATAAAACACATTTTCGGCCAAGGCACGTCCAAGGTGCCCACCGTGTGATCCCTGTACTCCCGCTTCAAGAACCGCGGAATGATGGCGTGGCCGGGCTCACCGTCGTACCTCTCCTCCGCCCCATAGGCGACCACCACCACCTGCCGCCGCACAGGATCCATGATGCCGAAGGCGACTTTGCGTGCTTGCTTGCTTGCTTGCGCTCGCTTGCTTGCCTGCTTCCTTGGTTGATTCCTTTGCATTTGCAGGCTTGACTTGCCATGCTTCCTGCTGACAGTCATAGCCACCTGCTCAAAGTCAAATGCTCCAAGTCAGTCATGGTCACCTGTCACTGTCTTGCCTGTTCAAGGCTGCCAAATCTTGCGGAAGTCGCACAAGCCAATCTCTAGAGGACGTCAGATCAGCAACTCAACAACTCCATCAGCAGTCGCAACCAGCAATGTTCAGATTCAAATTTCAAAACCAGCAAAGGTCCAGGCAAGATTTGACATAAGTGTTGCAACAAGTGGCTGAACCTATGAATCTCGTCTCACGTGGCCTTTCCGCTTGCAACCGACTGAACAACTGCGCGGGGCACCGATCCGGCTTTGCGTCTTGACACTGGCTTCCTCCCTCCACAACCTCGGCAATGCACCCCATCGATAATTGAGTCATTAAAGCAACGACACCGTGATATGTGCAAGACTCTTGTCAGTAGGTCAATGGTCCAAGCCTCTGCAATGCCGAATGTGATTGACAACCGGAAAAAAATAGGGTTCTGATCATGCCTGCAATGTCTAGTAGAATGTTCAGCATAAGTCTGGAACCAGTTGCCACATTCGCTCTGAGGCCCCTGCTAGGTGCATGCTCTTGAGGAAGATAATGACCACATCAGCATCGCATGAAAAAAAAGTAAGCTGGCCCCAATGCAACAAACCATTGGATAGGTTCAATTCATGGCCAAACATCCACGCATCGACTCACACGAACACGTATTTAAACACAGACACACGCACACACAAACAAACAGGCCTGCGCACACAAACAAACACGGGCCAAAAATCCCACCCTTTGAGCGCATTTTCATCCGCGCCTTTCGCTAGAACACTGAACCCTGACATTGCCTGTGAGAACCCGCGTTTCCCCGCGCACACCAGTAAGTTGTATATATATATACATATGATTATCATTGTACATGTTTATACATACAGTAGTACCCATCATATACAAGTCATGACATTTGCCATACGACGGTTGGGTGCAACACCAACATAAGACGCTGCGCCGTGCGTAGTGCAAAGGAGCAAAAGTGCAGTTTTACGACACAACAGCACAACGCTACCACTGTGTCTGCGCAAGATTGAAAGAAGCACTAGCATTTGCGGAAGTCGTTGCAAAGCCACACAACTAAGCCGCGCCCATTCTTCTGCAATCAGCCGAGGTTGCACATACGGCTGCACTCAAAACACAGCAGCTTCAAGCATGACTGGCATCTTATCAGCAGTGCCAAGCGAAGAGCAACGAGGCAACTGCAACTACCCTTGCAGCTACCATGTTCAATGTCATCAAAGCACCCCATCACACACCACACTTCAACTGGCAGCAGCAACAGAGCCAGAGCGGCCAAATCCGGGAGGCCAAAGGTGCAACAGAACTGCTAGATTGCGTCGGCTCAAAAAATGACAAAGTCAGTCTGTCACTCCATGGTGCAGCAAACATGACACGCGTGCGCGTGGATCCCATGCATGGTGACAGCAGCACCAACTATGGAACAGCAGCCACAGAGCAACACCCACGCCATAGTCCAGACTTCTCGTACCGTCAGGCAACCCGCCAACTTCTGTTTGTCAACGGCACTAAAACCATCAGGTCATCCTACACAACTTGCAATAGCAAGAAGTGTACGCCTGCAAAGGGGAACATGCATGAGCGTACATGCATGCCAGTATACAAGCATTCTCCTCAGTTGCTTCCAAGCAGGTGGCAGTGTCAAACTATTTGATTTACACTTCTGCACACACTGGCCACACTGACATCAGATCCACCTAGCTAATGCACAAACGTGCCACCTTGACGAAAAAATAAAAAATGCTTCTGGGGCCATCCTAGTCTTTGGTCAAATGACCCCAAAAGGCTTGATGTTCACACCCCTCTCCTCCAAAAAAGGCATATAGCCCCTTGTAAAGCGGGTTGGGAACCAGGCAAGCCAAGGGGTTTGAGCTACTTCCAGACTTGGGTTTAAGCGAAACGCCATGGGAAGTTGAAGCTTCGTGTGTCAAACCTTGCAGCTTCCGACACTGGGTTCCTGAGCTCCTCAAGGGGTCGGGGGACAATCACGGTCTCAACCAGCTAAAGCAACTATGACGTGGCAACCGGGTTCAGAGTCTTGGCCAACCAACGACTATGGGAATGCCTAATAGGGAGTAGATAAAGGGGTGGGTAGTTGAGAGCCCTAACATTTTTAGGGTCCTAGGGCTCCTTAGTTAGCTTAGGAGCCTTAGGGCCCCTCCCCCTGAAAAAGGAAAACACCTTGAGAGAGTTTGGGGTGTCATTCCTAAATGTGGCTAAGGCTTCCACCTTGGGCACTCAAGCAGGAAGCATCAAGAAACACCTGGCCAACCCAAACTCGACCAAACAGAAGCCCCTCTTTTGCCCATCCACAACCCCACAGAAGCAAGAGGGTTATCCCTTGAACACTGTGACAGAGGTTGAACCAGCGACTTGGCAAGCTATGCCCTTGCCAGATTCTCAGCCGTCAGTTTTGGGCTGAAACATTGAGGAGCCGGACGTGGCACCGGGGCTGTACAGAACACACTGTACCATTGAAGAAACTCCTGTTATGGTTTACGGGCACGGCTTCCCTAGATATGCTCGCAGTGTTTGTCCACAATCCCTACTGAAAGCTCCATGACCACCCCAACCCCATAAGAGGAGTTTTGGCCATAGCACACGCGGTGAGTCAATTTCGACGTTTTGGAAGACTTCAACATCAAGCCCAGTGTGCGATCACAACTCATTTCCGAACCTGAAAGCGTGAGTTCAAAAGTTGCCTAAGCGACCAAAATGAAACACAAAGTAAACGGCTTGGTTGGGGGAAGCAAAAGCGAAGGTAGCGACGGCCGAGTGAGGTGCTTGCTTCAGGCTGGGCCATCCGAGTGACATCCTCAAAAAAACCCTACATGCCCACCCCGAAAAGCATGTTCCAGAAAATGCCTCAAGGTCCTCCACCTTTCTTTCTGTCTATTTTAATAGGGGAGCCGTCCCCCAAAAATGGGGAGAGAAGGGCACTGGGGGACCTAGCGCCTCCCTCAAAACGCTTCACCAGGAGACACAACCAAACGAGACACGATTCCAGCTTCGGCCTCGCAGCTTCGGCCGAGGCGCGGTCAAGTCTTCGGCTGTGAGGGCGCTAACCAGGGCGCCCGAGCCTCGGCCTGCGCCCAAGGGCCTTTGTTTGGGACATCAACGCCGGGGTTTGAGGCACCTTGGGCGAGTAGAATGTTTTGTTGTTGTTGTTGTTTTTTGTTCTTTTTTCCCCGTTTTTTGTGAGGGGGGCCGGATGAGGGGAGGAGAAGCTCAGTTGAACAGGAGCTAGAAAACTCGGGTTCCGGAACCCTCAGAAAAGGGGACCGTGAAATGGTGGGGATCAGCTTGCGGGACGAAGGGTGGCTTCCGGCCAGCCGCGTAAAGCACCCAGCTCCGGAAGCGGAGCGATGCCGGGCAACGCCCACGGGTTGGAAAACCGACGCGAAACCTCGTGCAGGCGATTCTGACATGTTCTGAGACTCTTTCTGGGTGGGGTCCTCATGCCTCTCCTGAATGCGCCGAAAGCTCCCCAAAAACGACACTTCTTTCAGGGTTCCCTATATATACTTCCTGTCAAGGGAGACTCACCTGAAATGGGCCAAGAAGGTGATGTTCAAAATCACAAACAAATACAGGGGCCGCTGTTTTGGGGAGTCTTCTTTCAAAGGACAAACCTCCCATGCATATACCCTGAGCTCCGCAAAAGATTGTCACGCACCGAATCCAACGTAGTACCTCTTTTTTTTGCGTGCCCACTTACCCCTGGTACATCTGATTGGCAAACTAGGGGTGTGGAGAAAAGTCCATCCTCGTTTGACTTCCCTTCAGGAAATCAAAGGGCAACTTAGTACCCAGCGATCTCAGCTACAGCAAGTTGTTTCGATAAGCCAGCCAGCGATTGGGAGGTGTAATCTATGTGATTCGATGCCCTGCTAATATCAAGGCTACTGACCGCTCAAACAACTACAGAAAAAAACATCAGACCTTTTGGTCCATTACTAGACGATTCTGGGGTGTCCTCAGGTCCCCACTCAACACGAAAAAGCGGAAAACAAAGGGGATGGCTGCGAACAACCAAGAAAAGCTGAAGGCCCGAAAGGCGAAGAGTTGAACCATGGCGGCCAGGCTACGAGGCTTCTCTTCCTTCTCCTGCGGATCGATGCCCGAACTCCGAGTTTCAGTGTTTGTTCTGCGGGCTCCGGGCTCCCTACGCAAAGTGCCGTCTGGCCGAATCGGCACGGAATCCCCAGCTCCAGGAGCCCAAAATGACTCCAGATGAAGGGCTCACATTTGCAGTGCAAACTCGCCTGCCGGGCCCCACCAAAGGGAACAATAGGAAACCCACCATCCTGGACCTTCAAACTCCGGGAAATTTCTGCGTGTTTTAGGAGACCCCTACGATTTACCGAATTCCAGTGGTTTAGCTACAATTTGAGCAAAAACACGTACGAATTGCGTCGTTTCCAGTCGTGCATTGGCCATACAAAGTAAATACTTGCCAACGTGCCAGTGAACCCCATGGGATGCCTTGATCATCAAAACTACGACTTTTTCTGATTTGCGGGAGTTTGCGGGTTTTTGCGGGAGATTTGCGGAAATTTGCGGGTGTTTTGCGGTCCAAATGGGTACGTTTTTTCTGCACCGCACAACTTTGGACCGCCGTTGCATGTGTTGACAAACTTTCGGGCTGCTTTAAGTCGTTTACCCTGCAAAGCTTCTTTTAACCTGTCAAAGGCCACGAGCATTGCAATAGTGTTTTTTAGGAGTTTTAGGGGATTCAGGTTTTTGCGGCAAAAAGTTCTACGATTTCCCGAATATCCAGTGGGGTTGCGGCGGCAACTAAGGTGAAACAGTGGGGTTCCTGAACAACACCCCAATCCAAGTTTCAAACCGCAACTCTCACTTCCTGAGAGGAATGGCCTTTAACAAGTCCAAACTTGTTGTTCACCACTAACCCCTCCTGCCAAAAAGTATCCAAAGTTCACAAACCGCGGAAGTGAAACAAAGAAACCCGCCTTTCGCACCTAGAATCTTACCAGCTGCTAGATGTCTTTTTCTCCTTGTTCTTTTCTTCGGCCAAAAGCCAAAAGCCAAAAAGCCACATGCAAGCTCCGCAGCGAGACATTTATTTCGCGCCTCGCGCGCGCGCGGCGCAAGCGGCGCGAGCGCGCGGAGCGGAGGGGGCCCCGCGGCCCCGCCTTCTTCTTGTGCCACTCCTCGAAGTCCTGGTGCCAATGCGGCAGGATGGGCACGCGCTGCGGGTGCAGGAAGGCCATGGCGTGCCTCGGCTCGTCGGCTTTCCACGTCTCAAGAGCTGCCACCTTCGAAGAGCGCAAAGACGGGGAAATCCAGCCCCAAATGCTTGGGAGCCCCCCTGCGGAATCTGGAGGTTGAACCAAAAAGCGAAAAGGAGCTGGCGAGTCACTCTCTAGCCATGTGAGGCAACTATTGAACATGGAGTTAAGACCCTTGAGAACCATTGGACTTGGGCCCGCCCATTTGCAACATGTTCCAACCTCAATAAGCAAGGGAGAAAGCAAACGTCGTCCGGAAGCTCCGTTGACAAGTAGAGGGGCCGAAAACAAGAAGAACCAATCTCAAGGGCGGCACCCCAAAGGCTGTGAAAGCTTTTCAAGTCGCCGGGTTCATGATTTTTCTGATTTGCATTGGAGGTTGCCTTAAAACTGCTTTCCAGGTTTAGCTTCCTTGTGTAGTTGCAATGGGATGTCCAAAGCACGACTCAGCGACCCAGGAACTTCGAATGATGCTTCAAGCCACCTGTAGGGAAAAGCCCCACGAGGACCGGCATGTCCGCTAAACACCCAACCAACCCAGACCAGCCATGTTAGCCCTGTGCAGGGCTACGCCAAAAAAAAACCTTTCCGCATGCCCGTGAGCCCGAGAACCATCAGAACAACCACCAAACATCGGTGCCTCCTTTTCTTCAACTTGCTTAAGCCCCCTGGAAAAATACTTCCAGTAGTGATCGATTCCTTTTAAAACCAACAGAGCCGGGTTCACGGGAAAAGAAAAAGAAACGAAAACGCGCCCCGCGCGCTTTGGCGGCCTTTTTCTTCGGCGAGGCGCTGGAACTTGGAGAACTTGTGCACCTGGATGGCCTGGCAACGATTGCGCAAGCCTCAAGAAAGCGAAGGTGCCACCGAGGGGAGGAGGGGGGTGGGGGGGCTATTCTTGCGGGAGGGGGGGGGGTGGTTGTTCTTGGAGGGAGAGGAGGGGGGTGGGGAGGGGGCTAGGTGAAAAAGAGGGCGATGCCAGCACCAAATTCTTCAGTCCAGGAAAAGCCAGGGCAGCGCATTCAAAACGGGGAGAAGCCTCCGTTGGAACTGCTCCTTTCTGACGGTGCCGCGCGGAACCTGAGAAGCTGGGCTTGCTCAACACGCCCTGGCCTCTACCCCAAGCAAACCAACGCCATGTGTTCAAGAGAACGGCTTTCCCAAGTGTAAAGAAGGATGCCTGAACAGAACGGAAAGTGAACGTACTAACTCAGTTGCTCAAAGAAGCCAGAAACACAAAGGTCCAAATCGGGGAAGCCAAAAGGTCAAAAAAGCTCGATTCGCTTTGGGCAAGCAAGTATAACATGGAGCCTGACCTTCGGGTCCCGGCTCCTGTAGCAGCCAGGAACCCCCCCGAACGTCGAACGGTTGCACTCCCTCAGACTAATATGGAAGCTCCCAGCCCCTTTCGTAAATGGAACCAAGTCTTTCAAATAGGTCCTGGGAGCTTCCATGTTCGCCTGGGGCCCTGGTCGTTCGGTGGGGTCCCGGCGCTATATTTCCCTAGCCGCGGGGTCCCGGCCCCAGCGCCCGAACGGCGCGCACGCGCGACGCGCGCTCCATGCCAGGCGGGCCCCGATCTCGTTGAGGGTCTGCCGGAGCCACAGCGGCGCCTCCGAGACATCCTGCAGCTTGATCTCCAGGATGGCGTACCTTGACTTGGCCCTCCAGATTCGAGAGGTGCTAGAATAGGGGCAATTACCAACTTGTTTTTTTCTGGTTTGGCTAGGGCACTACTCGGCAACCTGGGTAATTATCCACTTGTTTTTCTGGTGTGTCCACTTTAGTAAAAGAACCCTCCCCCGAAAAAGAAATGGTAAAAGGGCAGTACTGGGGGGACCTAGTTGAACTCACTTCCGATGCAGTGGATGGCCCCAAACAACAGGAACCAAACTGTTTATTTGAACACTAAAATGGGTCAAACCCAAAAAGTGACTGAAGTCCAGGAACTCAGGAAGTGAGTGAGAAATGTCGGGTCCTGAAACTCGGGGAACCCCCAAAATGGGTTTTCTTCGAGCAAACCCTACTTAAGGGTACCCTCAAATATCAGACACTGGTTTTCCTAGCGGCCCCCAGGAAACACGGGGGGAGATACCCTTTACATAGCTAGCGACTATATGGCGTTTGTATATCACCTGAAAACCGCTGGCTGGGGGGTAGCGACGCCAAACGCCAACGCAGGCTGAGCTTTCTTTGGGAGGCTACAAACAGGGCTCCACCGAGCGATTGACCCTGGCGAGCTAAGACGCGCCCTCCTCTGTTGCGAACAGGTTGTTTTCAGCCGCCCTCTCTAGAAAGCAAAGTGGCCATGGGTCAAAATCCAACATGTCGCATCCCCAGTGAACATCCCAATCCCCACCGTAGACCAACATGGGTGGTGCACCGAAAACCCCAAAATGGTACCATTGGTTTTCTCCCAGTGAAGAATCCAACCACTAAAATCCCGGTTCTAAAATGGGTGGACTCCCAAACCCCCAAGTCCTAAACCCTAAAAGTCCAAAACCCTGAGCCCTAGGGCTACGGGGCTCAGCACCAGATACCTGATATTGACATCCCTGGGGGCATCGCCGGTGTTTTTTGCGCCCCAGCTCACTTGGCTGCTGTCAAAACCGATGAGGGATCCCGTTTTGGGGGGTGGGTGAATTTAGGGTTTAGGGTTTGGGAGTTTTTGAGTTTAGGGTTTGGGAGTTTTAGGGTTTGGGGTTTAGATATCGCAAGTGTGCTAACTACAGCCAACCGCAAAACCCACTGCAAACTGCGGCTGGAGTAGGCCCCCTTGTTCACCGGAACTCTTTAGGACAGCCACCGCTTGATTCGCAAAATGCTGCAAGGGAACAAGGACCATACCGGAAACCTAGAACACTACGCTACAACCAAAAATGCTGACATGACAGTTTTGGAAGGCAACAATTCTTGGGAATGCTCTTCTGTCCAATTCCGTTTTCGAAGATAGGGCGTTCTGTCCAGCCTCGGGGTTGCCTCAAAGCAACCGGATAGCATCCTTAAGGGCAGCATTCAGTCGGATTTCCAGAATAAAGGTTGGGAAACCAATAAAAAAAAAAAAACAAGCAACCGCATGAGTGTTGATCACTTCAAGCCCCGTGCAAAACAGCCAGCTGTTCATGGTATACGGTAGCACCATCCTTCCGACGACGATGGGCAGAGGACCCCCTAAAAAGGAGATTGGTCTTCCAATTGCCCTCCTACACGTGCCATGTTAGCTGGAGGGAGGGCATTGCTTAAAGAGGAACCCTCCAACAAAGGCAGGAACACCAGTAGACGGGGTATAACTCCATTAAGTCAGATAGAGGAAATTTTGCGGGACTTCCTTGTTTGTTGGTGGACACATTTGGCATATGGCTTGTTTCCTGCAGCTCTAGGGTTTGATTCCCCATTCTTTTCAACCATCGTTCTTGTCAACAACTTGCCGGTTTTTCTGGGTTTCTTCTGTTCTTCTCTGAAAGAAGGATGTCTGGACAACAACGGGGAAGGCACCCCTAGAATAAGGGTACCCATTTTTCTTTCTGTAGCCTATTTTAGTAGAGGCACCCTCCCCCAAACACAATGGGTAAAAAGGCACCTAGCTGGGGGGCCTAGTAGCTGGTTTCTACCCACCAACCGGACTCGCTCCGCGGCCTACGAAGAACGAGGCCCCCGAAACTTCCAGGCGCCGCACGGGAAGCGGTACACGTCGTGGCTCTGCAGCGTATCGGATCCCACCAGGCCTCAGCAAATTCTTCCGAGCGAGTGGGCCCAAAGAAAGTCCCATGGCCTTCAGTTTGAAGTCCGGGGACTCTGGGAAGTGACTCTCAGCGAACTTTGAACTCCAAACTCGAGCATGAGAGTGGTGACTTTTGTTTGGTTTGAGGCCCGGGGAAACAAGGGGGGTTGATATACAAAGGGCGTTTGGATACACACATACACACACTGGTCATCTCAATGCCTGAGCTAGGACGGCGAGCTAGTTTTACCCTCAGGTGAGCAAGCCCGCGTCTTTGGGAGGACTGCTGCCCGTGTGGTGGTGAAAGCCTACAGCACAGTGGACGGCAGTACTGGCCAAGCGAAAACCATTTTTGAGCGGATCCACTGCCCTCGACGGATCAAATGAGCGTGTGTCGAAATAGGGCCCCAACTTAAATGGTTGCTTTTGGATTTCCTTTTAGCCTGTAAGCAAAAAAAGACGGACCCCCAACTAGAGGACGATTGGCCCGAAAGCATTCTTCCCCAGGTGCTCATCCAGCCGCGGAGACACCTTTTTACATCGCTGCGGCGAGCGTGTCTGCGCGCGGCGATGCTCAATGTGTATTGTGACATGAGAGCTCCATCTCATCGTCCTACGAGAGGAAACATGGCAGTGCTCGATACCACATATTTACATCCGTTAAAACAAGAAGAGTAAAGCTCGTAAAGCTCGAAACGAATTACAAGCAAAAGGAAAAGCAATCAATAGCAAAGCTTACACGACGGCCACAGTTTCTGCAAAGCACGCTCGCGCAACTTAGCTCTGTGCAAGATGGCTCTGCGCAGCTTGGCTCTGTGAAAGTTGGCTCTACGCAAGCTACTTTTCGCGAGTGGCTCTGTGCAAGTTGGCTCTGCACGAGTCTGCTCGGCGCAATGTGCTTTGCACGAACTGCGCCGCGCGATTTCTCACGAAAGTGGTCTGCGCAAGCTGCATTGTTCCAGGCTGCTGCGCGCAAGTTGCTCTCTCTCTGCAGCTGCTGCACGCTGCTCTGTGCAAGTTGCTCTGTGCAAGTTGGTCTGCGCCAGTTGCTCCGTGCAAGCGCTTTGCGCATGTGCTCTGTGCAAGTTGGTCTGTGCAAGTTGCTCTGCGCAAGTGCTTTGTGCAAGTGCTCTGTGCAAGTTGCTCTGCGCAAGTTGCTCTGCGCAAGTGCCTGCCGGAGCTGTGGGAATGTACTTTGCGTACTATTTTTGTACTTAAAAGTTGCGATTTTCCAGCCGGAGCTGCGGGAGTGTGCTCCGCGTACTACGTTTGTACTTGAAAGTGCCGGAGAGCTCCGCATACTACGTCTGTACTTAAAAGTTGCGATTTTCCAGCCGGAGCTGGAGCACGCGCCGGAGTACTACGAAAAGCTGCGATTTTCAAGCCGGAGCTGCCGCGGACCAGGGGGGAATCGAACCCGCGACCGTGGGATTGCGAAAGCAGGCGCGCAAACCACGAAGGCTATTTCGCGAGCAAAGAGCGCTTCGACACGCACGATCTCCGCAGAGCGTTCGCCGAGACTGAGAAGAATCCGCACGGCGCCACAGCGAGAGCGCTTCGACACGCACGATCTCCTCTGGGTCATCCGGGAATGTCAAAAACGCACAAAACCTTGAGTTTTTGCACCTCGACCATGCCGATCTCCGCAGAGGGTCGCGCGGGCACCGCAAAAAACGCAGAACAAAAACCTCGAGTTTTTGCACCTCGACTCTCCGCAGAGGGTCGCACGGCCATATCAAAAAGCGTAAAAAAACCTTGAGTTTTTGCACCTCCACCACGCCGATCCCCGCGGAGGGTCGCGCGGGCATCGCAAAAAAACACAAAAACTTCGAGTCTTTGCACCTCGACCACACCGATCTCCGCAGAGGGTCGCGCGGGCATATCAAAAAATGTAAAAAACCTCGAGTTTTTGCACCCCGACCACGCCGATCTCCGCAGAGGGTCGCGCGGGCATATCAACTAGAGGACGATTGGCCCGAAAGCATTTTCCCCAGGTGCTCATCCAGCCGCGGAGACACCTTTTGACATCGCTGCGGCGAGCGTGTCTGCGCGCGGCGATGCTCAATGTGTATTGTGACATGAGAGCTCCATCTCATCGTCCTACGAGAGGGGAAACATGGCAGTGCTCGATACCACATATTTACATCCGGTAAAACAAGAAGAGTAAAGCTCGTAAAGCTCGAAACGAATTACAAGCAAAATGAAAAGCAATCAATAGCAAAGCTTACACGACGGCCACAGTTTCTGCAAAGCACGCTCGCGCAACTTAGCTCTGTGCAAGATGGCTCTGCGCAGCTTGGCTCTGTGAAAGTTGGCTCTACGCAAGCTACTTTTCGCGAGTGGCTCTGTGCAAGTTGGCTCTGCACGAGTCTGCTCGGCGCAATGTGCTTTGCACGAACTGCGCCGCGCGATTTCTCACGAAAGTGGTCTGCGCAAGCTGCATTGTTCCAGGCTGCTGCGCGCAAGCTGCTCTCTGCAAGCTGCGCAAGTTGCTCTGTGCAAGTTGGTCTGCGCCAGTTGCTCCGCGCAAGCGCTTTGCGCATGTGCTCTGTGCAAGTTGGTCTGTGCAAGTTGCTCTGCGCAAGTGCTTTGTGCAAGTGCTCTGTGCAAGTTGCTCTGCGCAAGTTGCTCTGCGCAAGTGCCTGCCGGAGCTGTGGGAATGCACTTTGCGTACTATTTGTGTACTTAAAAGTTGCGATTTTCCAGCCGGAGCTGCGGGAGTGTGCTCCGCGTACTACGTTTGTACTTAACAGTTGCGATTTTCCAGCCGGAGCGCTCCGCATACTACGTCTGTACTTAAAAGTTGCGATTTCCCAGCCGGAGCTGGAGCACGCGCCGAAAAGCTGCGATTTTCAAGCCGGAGCTGCCGCGGACCAGGGGGGAATCGAACCCGCGACCGTGGGATTGCGAAAGCAGGCGCGCAAACCACGAAGGAGCAAAGAGCGCTTCGACACGCACGATCTCTGCAGAGGGTCGCCGAGACTATAAAGAACCCGCGCGGCGCCACAGCGAGAGCGCTTCGACACGCCGGATTTTCCGCAGAGTCCGGGAATGTCAATAGCGTAAAAAAATCGAGTTTTTGCACCTCGACCACGCCGATCTCCGCAGAGGGTTGCGCGGGCACCAACAAAAACGCAAAAACCTCGAGATTTTGCACCTCGACCACGCCGATCTCCGCAGAGGGTCGCGCAGGCACCGCAAAAAACGCAAAAAACAACTCGAGTTTTTGCACCTTCACCACGCCGATCTCCGCAGAGGGTTGCGCGGGAAAACCGCAAAAAAAAAACCTCGAGTTTTTGCACCTCGACCACGCCGATCCCCGCAGAGGGTCGCATTCCCGATCGTCGGCAACATCCCCACCCCCCGGCTTAAAAGAGATTCTTAATACCGAGCTCTTTCTCTTTCTTTCCCGCGCGTTAAGTACTTAACCTTACCTCACCTAGCTTACACAGCTGCTACCGCCGAGCCTCTACACCTAGCTTAGCTTAGCTCTTTGCACCTAGCTCTATGCACTTGGCTCTATGCACCTGGCTCGATGCACTTCGCTCTTTGCACTTGGCTCTGTGCACTTAGCTCTGTGCACTTGGCTCCTTGCACCTCGCTCTTTGCACTTCGCTCTGAGCACTTGGCTCTACGCGCTTGGCTCTTTGCAGTTGGCTCTGCGCAAGTAACTCTATGCTGGTGACTCCATGCTGGTGCCTCTGTGCAAGTATCTCCATGCTGGTGACTCTGTGCAAGTATCTCCATGCTGGTATCTCCATGCTGGTGACTCTGTGCAAGTATCTCCATGCTGGTATCTCTGTGCAAGCTACTCTGTGCTAGTAACTCTGCGCGAGTATCTCCATGCTGGTATCTCCATGCTGGTGACTCTGTGCAAGCTACGCTGCGCAAGTTGACCAAGAGCTCCTGATATCTCCGTGTTGGTGACTCTGTGCAAGCTACTCTGCGCAAGTTGACCAAGAGCTCCGCACGGAAGAACCCTTCGCAATGCTTTCGGGAAAAAACGCAAAAACAAACTCGAGTTTTTGCACCTCGGCCACGCCGATCTCCGCAGAGGGTCGCGCGGGCACCGCAAAAAAAAGCAAAACACCTCGAGTTTTTGCACCTCGACCACGCCGATCCCCGCAGAGGGTCGCATTCCCGATCGTCGGCAACATCCCCACCCCCCGGCTTAAAAGAGATTCTTAATACCGAGCTCTTTCTCTTTCTTTCCCGCGCGTTAAGTACTTAACCTTACCTCACCTAGCTTACACAGCTGCTACCGCCGAGCCTCTACACCTAGCTTAGCTTAGCTCTTTGCACCTAGCTCTATGCACTTGGCTCTATGCACCTGGCTCGATGCACTTCGCTCTTTGCACTTGGCTCTGTGCACTTAGCTCTGTGCACTTGGCTCCTTGCACCTCGCTCTTTGCACTTCGCTCTGAGCACTTGGCTCTACGCGCTTGGCTCTTTGCACTTGGCTCTGCGCAAGTAAATCTATGCTGGTGACTCCATGCTGGTGACTCTGTGCAAGTATCTCCATGCTGGTGACTATGTGCAAGTATCTCCATGCTGGCATCTCCATGCTGGTGACTCTGTGCAAGTATCTCCATGCTGGTAACTCTGTGCAAGCTACTCTGTGCTAGTAACTCTGCGCGAGTATCTCCATGCTGGTATCTCCATGCTGGTGACTCTGTGCAAGCTACGCTGCGCAAGTTGACCAAGAGCTCCTGATATCTCCGTGCTGGTGACTCTGTGCAAGCTACTCTGCGCAAGTTGACCAAGAGCTCCGCACGGAAGAACCCTTCACAATGCGTTCGGGAAAAAAGCTTCAAAAGCAACTGGCTAAAGGCTTTCAGGGATCAGTTGTTTGCTTTTAATTGTGGATTCCCGAAAGGGTTCCCTCAAAAAACAGATCCCCCCCATGGATCGACCCCAGCCAAGCGGCACCACGGCTCATTGGGGTGCCCGTTCGCCATGTACTCCTCGGAGTCCAAGTGGCTTAGGCCATCTTGTCGTGGCTAGCCAGCTGAGCCACAAACAAACATATTGGCAAATTGTCAAAACTTATACCCAAACGCTCCCGATGAATATAGGGCGCTCAAACAGCCAGATTTTCAGACCCCCAAACACCTCCGGGGTGTCTAATGGAGGCGTCGGGTCTTCCATTGACAGCCTCTGGACAGGCAAATAATCAACAAATGCAATTCGGAAATGTATGACCACAACATGTGCAGATTTTAGAACATGTCCAAAACCTGAAAGGTACTGTGGATTCCTCTGCCATACTGCAAGGAAACCAAGGAAACCCTGTGAATTCAACCATGGTTTGTGGTCTGGTTGGAGCATCCGCTGCATGACTTTCGCGCAACACTGCTTAGCACGCAGGTCAAAGGAAACCTGACACGCTACACCAACATTTAGGGGAATAAACAGGAATGATAGACGTAACGTGACATCCTGTTTTGGACTGAAACGCCGTTTGGCAAGCCTGTGCAAAGAGTGTGTGTGTGTGTGTGTTCACCAACTATTTGTAGTTGGATCTGCACTCTTTATGCCGAATCCTGAAACGATGATTTTTGATGTGAAGGAAGGACCTCAATGGTCGCCACACGATAGAGGATGTGCGTGAGCTATCCTGGCACTCCAATCCTATTACCCCGTGATTGGAAGGATGCTGAAAACAAGCCCCGCACGTCTCAAAATCAATGGGGCTGAATTCGTGGCGTTCATTTGATGCTCGGACACCTCCCCAGCTTGTGCTTGGCAACCTCCCAGCTTTGGACTTGTGGACTATAGCCCCCCTCCCCTTCGCAGACCGCGAGGGAAGCGGAAGGCTACGTGCCGGTGGCAAATTCGTGACAAAAGCAACCTGCCCCCAATGAACCCTTGACACCAGCATGGATCCGAAACACATTCAACCACTCTCAAAAGGGGGTCTTGAAGGAACACAACCTGCTGAGCAAAGGTCATTCAAGAGTGACATCTGCGTGTCCAAGGAGACGCGGACCTTGTTGTCGGTGGCGAGCCTTGGGACGAAGGTGCTGAAACGACATGACGGGCATGTGTCAGCTGGCTCGGACCAAGTTTCTCTTTCGATTGAAGTCCAAACTACCTCCAAATTTCGGAAAACGGTTGCGGGACCTGCTGGTTTTGGCCTGGTGGTGCAGATAGGTAGCTCAAAGGTTGTTCCAGGTCCGGTGATGGCTACACGCTGCTTGTGAGCAGAAGCCGTGCTAGATGACTACATCAAGACAACAACAACGAAGAAAAGGAACGGCCCGCAGCCTGACCTATAGTCTTCATTGTTGCTTCGCGATACTCTTGCCAACTTTGTAGAAATCACAGAACGGCAATAAGGATTCACCCCATTAAAGAACCCGCAAATGGCGTGCTCTATCCCGGACCCCTTGATAGCTGCCACTAATTTGCCATGCACATCGCATAGCCGCGGCTTCTGGCGGACCGCCAGTCACTTGAGCCCAGGCCAAACACAACACCACTACCCCAACCCGCAGGGAAACACGGTGGGCCCCCCTGGCTTTAGTTGAAAATTGGGGTGACCATCCTCAAACTAACAGCGACTACCAAGAACATTGCCAGTAACTCGTTGGTTACCACCCTTTCCCTTCCCCGTGAACAAGATCACGTTTGGAGGGGACACTCCCCATCCACAATTCTACCACTCCGGAATCCATATTTGCTGGGCAGTTGGGGCCCGGAAAAAAATGACCCATCCCCTTTCAGCTTCCCTTTCAAAACAAATATGGGCCACTTAGCAACTAATCCCCAGCCCGTTTGGGAGAGGATCTGGAGCGAAGCTCAGCCTTATCCCCAGGTGCAGGAAGGGGAGATATTTATTGCATTCTCCGCGAAAGGAAGAAACCACATTTGACAAGAATTGTGCCACGATGAGCCAGGCGATTCCAAGCAAAGAGCCTACATCATGTTGAGCTCGTTTGGCCCCAGGTGAGCTCGAATTCGACAAACCATATTATCGCGGAAGTAGCTGACAGGGAGTGCAAAAAGGTGTGGTAACTAATGCCTGCCATACCAAAAAGGGTTGCCCAAATCTAACCAAAACATAATAATAATCAAGACATGCCCAACCACGGACCATGTTCCTCTGGCTCACGGGGCCTCTCAAAGGCCAATGTATTGGACCCTGCCCCCACCAACTAACAGAGGATGATGGAAATTTAGATCAACCACTGAAATGGTCTTCCAAATTGTGGTGACTGTTAGTGTTTGAGGGCAGGGTCCAACCTATCCACCACAAAGCCGGTGCCTCGAGAATGGATTGACCCACTTCCCTGTGACCAGAAGAAAACGCATCGCACATGATGTTTATTTGCCCAAACCCCCCCCGGAAAAGAATATGTCCAGCAGTGATCGATGCCCTTTAAAACCAACAAACAAAAATAACAAAAATGATTGAGCAACTGGAAAATGAGTACAAATGACACTGAATGCACTGTGGCCTCCAACTGAATCCGACAGAAAGCAGCACGCGTTGTTGTGGCCATGGCCTGAACACAGCAGCAGGGAGCGAACAGGAACGACTGTTGAGCCTGCATGTTCAAAAGGGGGCGGCACCGTGTTATAGAAGCTCAAGCCATTTTGGAACCCCCGCACTGCTAGGTCCTTTTGTCGAGAGGTCAGAATAAGGATACCCTTTTTTCCGTGGCACGACTGGGGGACCTAATTCCACCTGGGACTGGTCAGCGTGCAAGAGGACGAATAGTGCGTGCTGAGCAGCTGGAAGGCGCATCGGTAATAGGAGGTTCGGATGATCGGCTGCAGCTTCCTCAGCTGTGGGGAAGGCTTTGGGGAAACTTTGGGGCACTTGCTTTCAGGGTTCCAGCTTGATTTGCCTGGGGGTGCTTAACGCTTTGGCTCCGCGGGCAACTGATTGGGTGGCCATCCTAATTAGGCCCCCATGTGCGCCAGGCTCCTTTCTTGCCAGGTCACTTTTCCTGGATCATCCTATCTACCTGATGGGCGGATCGCGGCGACATGATTGGGGCGCTGCCAGATCACCCCAGTTCTCCCGGTTCTCCCCACCCTCCAGGCTAAAATTGCAAATGATGGCAGTAGTCAAAAGGCTGCGCAAGTGCTCAGTGCTACACATACCAAGAGCTCAACATGGAATTGCCAGTGCCAAGCCGACAACGTGTAGAAATCACCCAACGACGTCCCGTAGGGCAGCAGAACGCGATAGCAAACCCCGACCTCGGATGATGAGCGGAACAAGTTGCTTCCTACTGGCTTGCGCAGTTGGAATCCGCTGGCTGTACTTGGTGGTTTGCATTGGTGGTTTGGAGGTTTGGGGGCCAGAGTTTCAACTGCCCAAACCACCAATCTGAACCGCTAAACTACGACTGTCTGGTTACATGTATAATATATATATATATAGGCAGTTGTTTTCAGCAGTTTATTTGCTTTATTTGCTTGCTTTGCTTAGGAGTTCCCAACTTTCAAGTGCCAAATCAAGGTTTCTTAATTCAAAGGCTTCCTTGCTTGCTGTTGTTGCAGGTAGTTACCAAAAAAAAGACGTCACATAAGCATAGCAACTTGTGTTGCGCCTTTTATGTTTGTTGATATTCCCCCCCCCCCAGCCCCCGCCCCTGTCACCAGAGAACCACCACACACAACACATGGGAAACCAATGCCCATCCCAGGCGACGATTGGATTCGCCTCGATGGCGATGGGCTTCATGCCCTTGATGGTCTTCTCCTTGGTGCCGTTGGCCGCTAGCCTCGGGCTTGGCTTCGGAGCGAGCCTTCCGATCGAGTGGATGGGCCCCCAAACACATCCGGGCGCATCCGGGAATTGCATGCTTACGGGAAGCCTGAAACCACGATGTTTTTTTCTGTTTACCAAAAGTGGCCTTCCCGAAAAGCGCTTCAAGTCCAGAAACTCAGGGAGTGAGTGGCAAAACCCGGGGGTCACCCGTGAAAGGGAATTGGAATTCGGGGCCGACTAGGGCACCAATGGCTCAACTGGGGCCACCAGGCAAATTGTTCTGCGAAAACTTCCTACGCTGTACTGACGCAGAATATTGACAAAAGATGTGCTGCTCTGATGTCATGGCCAGCCGATTGACTTCCGGCCACGATGGCATGTAGGTATGAATTTGAATTGGGGGATGCCTTGGTGGACATCAGATACTTGCGGATGCATGTCTGGCAAACAATCGTGAGGGTGTTATCCAGCAACAACTCTCGCTTTGATGTGCAAACAGTCAACCTCTAGCAACAGAGTTGACAAACGTTGTAAACAAACAAATGTCCCCCAAGACCTAGGGTTCTCCGAGCAACTCAGGCTTGCCCGGGCGGGGGGGGGGGTGGGGGGGGGGGGGGGTAATAGCAAACATGCGCGCACAAACACACATGCTGTGCACACAGGTGAAGATGCTCGTCGGGTCCTGGCCTCAAGCACGCGTACACATACGCACACAAGCACGGTCATGCAAGCACGCTCAAACAAATAAGCTCGAATCGGCATCAGCGCATGGTGTCCGTCACGCTGGCATCATGTTTACTGCAGCATGGCTCTTGATCATGCGCCTTTGCTAGCGCTTGCCCTTTCATACCTTATTCTTTTGCGCCTAGCGCGCCAGCCATCGCCGATATCGAACTCCGCGGAGTGGTTCTGTGCTTTCTGGAGAGCAGATTTGTTTCTTCTCGACTCTCATCAGGACATCTTCAGTTGCACTCAGCGTGCAGATCCAGTGCTGAGCTTCGTGCTTGAGGTAGCTGCCCCTGTCCGATCGATCACCTTTGCCTTGGAACCTGCTGCCCTCGGCACTTCCAGTTTTGGCCTCGGCTTGGAGCCGGTACGTGAGCCATCATTCTCTAAGCTCATCGCTATCTGCCGCTTGCTTTGTGCTGGCCACCAGGCTGCTCGGGCTGCGCGAGCACTGCTTGCAGCCTGACATGAATCTAGGTGTCGATCATCCTGAGACACATCGATCGCATTCACCTTTTCGCCAAGATTCGCAGGGATCGGCTACGCCTTCGCAGGGATCGGCTACGCCTCCGCCTTCGCAGCTGTGCCTACATGATTCTCCAATGTCGAAACGGAGGAAGATCAGTTTCTGGCCATTGACTATTGCAAGCTGATGCTTTATGCTTTTAATACTGACGCTTATTTTTTACGCCTTGAAACAAGATTATTACTAGTAACAAATTGTTTGGGATGCTAAGGCTACTGGGAAGAACAAGGCGCTGCTGCTGCCATCTTTGCAGCTTCTGGGGGCACTTGCGTGGATCTCACGGAATCTCCTTGCGCAGTGTCAT